ATCCAAACATTTCTATCGATTGTTTTTGTTTCTCTTTGCTACGGTAGTGAAAGAGGAGGCAAACGAGCTCAACTGATCGGATCGATGCGCATGAGAAAATGAGACAAAGACAATGCTACTTTGGGCTGCTAGCTTGTAGAACACCAGCTCAAAGTCAAGAAAAAAATATTGAAACGGATATGAGAAAAAACTGCAAAAACACCCCTTTGCAATTTTCAATTTATTTATTTTTGTGTTTTGTTGTCTGTTTGACTGTTTTATTTTAACAACAATTGTCATTATCATTGTTTGATTGATCATCAACTGCAAACTGCATTTTTATTTTTTAAATTTTATAATTTTTACTTCATGTTTTTTGAATGAATTTTTTAATAAAAATCAAAAGCAGCCGTCAGAATTTGAATTGGGCGCTTTTTAGTGAGATCTTTCCAATTAGGAAAAAAGGGAGAAAAACAGTGTACAACAGTGTAGAACTGCATGTTGCCGGCAGGAATGTTTGTGCCAGTGACAGTTTGTGTCGTTTGTACGTCAATTTAATTGAAATTTATCGGTTGCACAAACTCACAAGCACACAACATTAAATAGACCTGACAAATTGCACAGACTAAATAATATATTTATGGGTGCTAATAAAACATTCTACACACAAGTGCTTCTTTTACTTTTTTAACCCTATTGAATTCAGGCAGATTTTAGAATGAAAATTAAATAACTGCTGTTGTAAAATAATTAATCGGCAGACATCAATTTCACATCATTTTGTCATTTTAATAATAGAAGTTTTTATTTTATTTATTTATCTTGTTGCACATTGTGTTAAAATGTAGTAAGGATAGATAAAAATGTGCTAGAAAAAAGGTTAAACTAAAGACAGAAAGCTGTCTAGCTTAATGTCTATGTAATTAAAAATTAATCAAAAGATAAAATTTTTTTGCTAAGTAGTTCACATTCAATAATAAATCTACAATGAGCAAATCAAATTTATTTTAAGCACTTTTTTATTGTAGTTTTATTTAGCTCGTAATTGCGTACTGGCATTTAAAAAAATAAATTAAAAATTGATTGTGCGAAGCTGTGGGAGTTTTCAGACGTAAATAATTTTATTGAACAAAATGAAAATTTTAATAATTTTAAATTATTTCATAAATGTTTATTGATCAAACAATTTAAAATTTAAAATGTGTAAAGTAAAAATAAGTTTGAAGTGCATTCAATTAGCATCTATGCATTTAGCACAAATGTTGGCTTTTCTGCAATTAATTAATTGCAATTTGTAGAAACGTTTTAGTTTAGTTTTTAAAAATAAACCAAAACTTTAAATTGTTTCAAGTTTTATGATGTCAAACAAAAAAATTTAAATTTTAAATTTGTGGCGCCAGCCACAAAGCAATTTTTTCACTACACTTTTAAATTTAAACCAATATATGCACATTTTTTTAATTTTTAACTAAAAAATATAATTTTTAAAAGCTTTAACTGTTTGAGTAGAAATAAAATCAATACATTTTTTGTTAATAAAAAAATAAAACAATTAATAAAGTTTTATTTTTTGCAAACACTATTTTTTTAATAAAATCAGTATCACATTTTATAACAAACTAAAAATAACGTGATTTTTTGTTTTTAACGCTTGCTAAAAAGAATGAAATTTATTTTTTAGCAAAAAAAGATGGATGGATGATGCTGTTAAAGATATTCGTCACTAAACAAATCACGTTTTCAAATCAAATAAATTCACTTTTGCATTTGTTGTGCCTTTTTTCTGAATAATTTTTCAACCGTCGACCTCTTGCTCTACTTAGACTTTAGATTTCATTTAGTTTTTTTATTCATTTAACTTTTGTGTTTTGCACCTGTTTTTTATTTATTTGTTACACGTGCATAAAATATGGTTTGCTTATTAGCTGTTACCAAACAATATAAAAATATGAGTTTGTAAAATAGAAACAGCAAGCAGAAAATTCTAGTTTTTGCAAATTTTGTTAGCAAAACTAAAAACAACACACTAAACAACAAAAAAGTGTTTTTTGTTAGATTTTTTAACCCATTCATCATCATTACCGTTTTTCCTGATAATTTGCTAATTTTACAATGCCATTTGACGGACAAATGATGGAGTTAAAACTCCTCGTGTTTTTTTTCTTTAGTCGGTTGTTCACCTTCACTTCTCGTTCAGTTTTGATGATTGATTTGGTTTTGGCGTGGGCCGGCTTGTTTACTGCAGCAGCAACCAAAAAAGTTTGCCAACAAATATTTAAAGTGATATTTACCATTTTTATTAGCTGGCAGTAGCTATTGACAAACATAGGCAGAAACCAGGTTTGTAAAAGAAAAATGCAAAATGCAAGCAAATTGAATTTGAATACTTACAACTAAACAAAAATTTTAACTTAAACTGAATAAAACTGCAGCACACGCAACATTTGTTGTACCACTTTTTTTCTGCGTTGGTGCTATTTTTATTTTTTTACAATTCCACGCACAACATATATTTGCACGTTTTAGCTAATGCTGCCCAAAACTCAAACAATTGTTATGTAAAAATTGAGCAGTTTTTATTAACTTTTTTAGATTTTTTTTCAGTTACCAGTCGATTTGCATGTGCATAACTAATTTTGCACTGAAAAGAAACAAATTCTGAGAATAGTAAAGAACTGCAAAAAAGCTTTTTTGTAGAGAAAAATCACCTACAAGTATTCCTTTACTCACTATTTTGTCTTATTATTACTAATGTTTTTTTTGTGAACTACAACTTTACTTTTACACTTCTTTTGAACTCCTCTTCAAGTTTACGTCACCACTGGTTTTGTTTATCTACTACTTTTTGTTTTTTCCGTCGATTTCTACGGAACTTGTACTTTGGCTTTCTTTCTATCATTCATTCTCAAACTTATCAACTTGTATCACCTCCTCGATCACCTAATAGCAATTAGGAGTAATGAGAGTGCTGCTCTGAGAAACCAAGAAAGAAGAGGACATTACGCTGATGAAATAGACTTGCAATTATTCTTATTTTATTTTTTTCGTTGTTTTTGCTTCGGCTCTATTCTTTAATTCTAATTTTGGCTTCACTCCAAAACTCTTTGTTTGTCTGTCTCTATATGAACGATTGATCAACTCTCAGAAATAAAGGGGGCAACTGAACAAACAAAACAACAATAATAACAACAATTTTTACATGTAAAGCAGCCCAGGGAGTAATCATCACTGAAACAATCACAGCACTAGTGTGTGCTCCAGTCAGTTTTCATCATTTGGCTATCATTAGCATTAATTGTTTCACTTGCGCTTTTGTTCAAGAGGACGTCACTTTTCTCTTTTCTTGTTCTTTTCCTGCTGCCCTTTCCTCTTTCACTTAATTGCCATTCATTTGAAGCAAACACAAACTCACACACGTACCCAACAGCAGCAGCAGCAATTGTCAGTCTCATTTCTTTTAATTACCGCACAATTAGTACTCAATTGCCCCCTGCTAGCACCGCCACCACTGCTTTGCAATTCTGTTAAGCCAATCAAAGTTTTTTTCTCAACAACAACCTCTTTTGCTAACAAAAACTACTTGAACAACAAAATTAAAATAATAAATCGATTTTTCAAGTAGCTCGTCGTTTATCGTCGCTAAAAAGAGTAGTTAATTGTTTGGTAATTAAAAGAAAAAGAGAAAAAACAGTTGCAAAAAACAGCACCATAACATCGAAATAAAATTGTGAATCGGCAGGGAATTTTAACAGCAAAAATGTTCGACTTCAAACTTGATCTTTTTCAATGTTATCAGTTCAATGAGCCATTGGTAATATTTTTACCCGTATTTTGACTGCTGTAAAAACACCTAATCTTTGGAATTCATCTCACATTTTGAATAGATAAGAAACAATAGTGGTGTGGCAGTCAAACTATCCTAGTAATCCTGTGCACAGAAATAAGCAATAAAAAATAAAAATATTTGAAATAAAATTGCAATTTTGTGTGTAGCGTTGTTTTGTGAGAATTGAACTGATGCAAATTTAAAATTTCTTCTTTTTCGCATTTTGATGATGTGTTTTGGGCTCAAAACTAGTGTAAGTGTTTTTGTGATAAGCTTTTAAGAGGTTAAAGTTTACTTAGAGATTTGAATAAATGTTTTTTAACGACGGTTATATGCTCTAGTTGAGCTAAGCTGGAGGTTTATTTTTGTATCTTACTTTACATGCAATTATTCAAATACACACAGCTCATCCCCAGTTGCCATCTAGTGTTTAGAAGACGAAAAATTTGGAATCGGATGATCAACAAAACTGTCAATTTACTGCGTCGATGGCGACAGCTAGTGGACGAGAATGAATAGTTTGAAAGTTGGTGAAGTTGCCAATGAAGTCTTAATTCCACTACAACACATTTTAATTTCTATTTAAAACAATTTTACAAAATTATTTAACATTTTTTTTCATGTCATTGAGTTTTTAGAAATTATTTTTTTAAATGCGCAAAGCCACAATAGATACGCCAGGCTACTGCAAAATTTTCCAAACAAATTTTTTAACTTTTTGAACAATATCATAACAAGTGGTTTTTGGCTGTTTAATTAAAATACGGAAAAAATACACAAGTTGATCAGGGAGTAAAAGTGTTTCAATCTCTAAACATTGCAGTAACTCAATTCATTTATGCTCTCCTAGAAAGCACTCCATGGATGCAGACATGGAACCGCCAAAGTGTTTATTTGACAGGATGGCCGTCGATCTGCCAATGGCTGTTGAGCCGCTGCAGCTGCTGCTGGCCATAACTGAAGAGGAAGAGTCAAACAGCTTGTACCAGCTCATCACCGTCGAGGAGAGGTCCAGCTCGTCGAGGACAATCTGCACGACGCCCATGAAAACCTTCTTCTCCATTCGACTGTAGTCGCCCCAGACTATCACCTGCAAACAAAAGAAAANTGCAGACATGGAACCGCCAAAGTGTTTATTTGACAGGATGGCCGTCGATCTGCCAATGGCTGTTGAGCCGCTGCAGCTGCTGCTGGCCATAACTGAAGAGGAAGAGTCAAACAGCTTGTACCAGCTCATCACCGTCGAGGAGAGGTCCAGCTCGTCGAGGACAATCTGCACGACGCCCATGAAAACCTTCTTCTCCATTCGACTGTAGTCGCCCCAGACTATCACCTGCAAACAAAAGAAAAAACACTAAAATTTAGTTATGAAAACCGAAAAGATTTCTTCAGGTAAGTCAGATTTACATGTATGGAGCAGCCACTGTAGTTGAGGGGAAACTGCAGCACCTGCTGAAAGAGCGGATCCAGCGTTCTCCGGGTGGCAGTGGCCGTCTTGCACTTGGCAATCACCTTGCGATTACGCAGCAGGTACACCTTCACGTAAGTGGCTTAGGCAGAAATAAAAAAAGTGTAAGGGTTTTGTTTACGCTCAACTTTTTACTGTTTGTACCTGGCAGGACGCGAGCACCACCCTTCACGCAAAGTCCCCGCGCCCGGACAATCTCCACCTCGAGCGTTTTTGCCGCTTTGATCGACTTCAACGAGAGCTGAATCTCGCCCATGCTGGAGCTGGCCACCGCCTGACGGCTGATGATCTGCCCCGGACCAAGGCCTTCAACGAAGGTTGACATGCGGTCGTCTTCCTCGTCAAAGACAGAGGCGGCGGCAACAGCAGATCCTGCTGAAGCTCGTCCGTACGGCGATAAGGGTGGCATCCAACTGAGAAATAAAAAAAAGAGAAGATGAGAAAAGTAGAAAGCAAATAAAAAACAAAAAATTCTACGATTCTACAAATCAGGCAGCTGCACTTGAGCTTCACTGCGCCTGTGTTTATCATTGCCGTTTTCACGGCTAATTTTCAATGATTGAATTTAGTCAAAGAGCTACTTTCTTTGATTGGATTGAAGTTTTTTTCAGTTTACCTGTTCAAGAACAGGACAACTGCTGACATTTTCTGCCTGCTGTTTGTCTGACTATCTGTCTATCTGTCTGTCAATGCTGAACTTTGCTATTTGTGCTTCTTATTTATTCATTGCTGATTGCTGTGTATTTAACCTTTCTTCGTTATCTGAGGGTGTTTGAAATGTCAACACTGCTATGAAGAAAAATACTGGATAAAACTGTGTGTGTATTTGTTGGTAATTGAAACGTCAAAAGCGACTGCAGTAAGTCTAGGATTTGGTCCTCTCTGATCAACCGTTTTTGATGTGCCTTAGTAAAAAAAGCAAAGTTTTAAATTAAATGTAAAGCAACTTGGAACGAAAGTTTACCGTAGACATTTCATTGACAAGTTAATTTTATCATCTCATTTTTTTCTTTTTTTCATCAAATTAACCAAGAAACATTATCATGAAATTGAAATAAAATAAAAAAATTTTAAAAGATAAAAATCAAGTTTGCAATGAAATGGTAGCTCACTTTTCTTTCGTCTCACGTTAAGCAAATATTTGAACTCGCCAGAGTATTCTCTTATAGCTCATTTTCAAATTGCTCAAATTCTGACTAAATAGAAAAAGCAAAAACCTAATCAGCCAAACACTGCAACGTTTGACAGCAAAAAACGCCTGGGGTTAACTTGCAAATTAAAATAGAGAATTTTGTACTTTTTAATTTTAAAGTGATCACCGAAAAAGACGCGAGAAAGCACTTTAAATGAACCTCACTTTTCAGCCTGACAATGTACATTGTGATTGTCTATAGAAAAATGGCAAAAAAATGTTTTGTTTTGTCCTTTTTAGAGCTGCACCAGAATTGTGATTATTGGTATATTCTTTCCTCTCTTTCTCCTTTTTCCCCAATTCATTCACGTCTCTCTCTCTCTCTCTCTTCCTCCCCTCGATGCGTAATTACTCTCTGTTGCACAACTAATCAGTAATCTCTTTGCTGCTTTCCCTCTTTCTATCCTTTTGACCATTACTTGCTGATGATTAAACGGTTACACCCGAAACCTGCTAGTCCAGTGAGCGGTGTCCTGTGGAGGAGGCGGGGGAAGTGCATTATTGGAAATCCATTTACGAATTTGGGCAACCTTCTTCTGCTCGAACAAAAGCCAAAGTCTCTCTATTGTTCTGATTTTGCTGTTGTCGTACTGCGGGTGACTCAACAACAGGCAAATGATTGTTTAA